TCCAGAGTGCATGTGGTCCTGAGGTGACTCTTCCACGCTCTGAGGTCCCTGAGCTCTTTTCCATCTTCCATCCCCACCAGCCATGCCAGAGGGTTGGGAGGGGAACCTTCTGGGCTACGCAGTGTCTCAGATGTCCTCCCTGCTGCTGTGGGGCAGCCTGTGTTCCAAAGGCACTGACCAGAGTGACCTCATGGGCTCCTATGTGTGCTTGCTCTTCACTACCAGGCCATGTGCCCTTTGCAGGAGTGCGTGAGCTGGGGCGACAGGCACCACGGAAGCCGTACTTGAGCATGCTGCGAGTCTTCATCCCAGCCTGCTGTGCGTTCCCTGTGGCAGAAAGACGGTTCTAGAGAGCGCAGTGAGCTTCTCTGGAGCTGTGTGATTGGCACATGTGGTACTGAGCCGTCCAAGGGATCAGGAGTGGTGTGCACGGGGCCCATTGGGCAAGGGCTCTGTGATCAGCTTTTCTCAAAACAGGGAATTAGAGGTTTGGATCTCTCCGCCCTCCCTGTGGCTGCTGGGAGCCTATACGATGGTGATGGTGGTGGCAGCAGCCCCCTTATTTGCATAATCACATTTCACACCCAAATTGTGCTTTACAGTTTGCCAAGTGCGTTTACATGAATGATCTTACTTAAGTTGCCAGGAGTACTTGGAAGGGTGAAATGCTTTTCTCAAAATCACATTTGCTAAACGTGAAGACGAGGCCTCAAATCAAGGTCCTCTACATCCTGGGGTCCTTGGGGAGGACCTGTTACTGTCCTGGGTATTGGCCTGGGGACAGGAGTGGGCCCAGAGGCCATGGCACCCCAGTTCTATCCCATTCTCCCCTCCATCCCTCTAGGCTCTACCATAGCTCCCCCACCCAACAGCCCCTTCCTCTCCTCTGGGGACTCCATCTCCCTACCTGGGCCACCAGGCTGTGACACTTATGAACCCTGTTTAGGAGGAAGGAAAAAACATCATGAAGCATGTTTCAGGGTCAACTTGAGTGATTTTCCTGTATGTCGTAGCTGGTGCTGAGGATGCCCTCCGGGGCGGCATCCTCCGGCTGGGGCTCACATCCTAACACACGGCATGCATCCTCGATGAGCATAATGGCATTGCATGTTTGTGATTCGTGATGTAATTACATGTGTCCAGAGATAAAACTGGTTGTAAAACTTTCACAGCCTTTAAGATGAAGCAAATTAACAGATGAGGGAGAAGTGAATGCGTGAGGCCCACATGGTTAGCGTTACCGACTCCCCCGCCGAAGAGCTGCTGTTCGCAGGTGCCTGAAGGCTCCCTCCCACCCCTGCCAGGGAGCTCCTCTAGACTCCTGCAGAATCTTTGATTGTTGCATCCTGTGAAGTCATTTAGCCTCATCTGACAAAAGCCCCTCTGGTCCTGGGCTTTGGGCATGAACACAGTGCCGGCAATGGAACTCAGTACCGAGGGGCAAGGTGGGGCAGACGTGTGTTCTGTCATTCAGATGTCATGTCTCTGAGAGCTTCTTGGCTCCTCGAGACTGCACCTACAGTCACCAGCTCAAAGCGCCTTCCAGAACCTTCAGTTATAGGCGCTTCTGAGCCTCATTACTCACCCTCAGGACCAGGGGGCCACCTTCATGAAGGGAACCAGGTGCATAGGCCCTTGTGGATGCCTGTGCCCAGGCTTGACCTGCCCCGCCACTTGCTAGGTAGGGGCTACCTGCTCAGGCTGCCAAGCCCCTTGTGCCTTAGTTTCTACATATGACAAGAGGGGTCACATCCGTGTCGAGCTAGGGTGCTGTGAGGACTGGACGAGGATGAGGAGAATGGGCAGGGGCCAGCCCTGGGCTCAGCCCGGGAACCAGGACCCAGGGCAGGCACAGGTTAGATGTGACTCCCCTGCTCCTTCCATCCCAGAGTGCTCTGCTTCTCCTCCAGACCTGCGCCTTCCTGCAGACCCACCTTCACTCTCCAGGAGTCACCAGGCCTTACCTGGTCCCCATCTTTCCCAGCAGCCACCTGGGCTATGCTCACCTGGGGAGGGGAGGCTGCTGCTTGCTGCCTCTAGAGCCCCTGTCTCCACCTTCTTATGGCAGCCATGTCCTTCTGAAACCTGAATCACAGCCTATCTCTCTCTGGGACCTCTGGCTGCTGGATTCCCATTAGCAGGGTCCTCACCTGCCCAGTGACAGCTAAGTTCACCTACTTTTCTATAGTGTTGCTGGGAGACCACGATGTCCCATAGTTCCAGGGATGTCCTTGTTTGAAGGACTTTCCCATCAGGACCATGTCAGGGTCCCTGAGAACTTGGCCTTCAGTGGCCCGTCCACAGAGCATCCCCAGATTCCACACAGGGGACCCAGACTCCCTAAGCCTCAGGGATCCCAAGTCTCCAGGTGCCTGACTTCCTCCCACTCTGTACCTGCAGCCCCACCCACACTCCCAGGCCCCACCTTCACCCAGCCCAGCCCCAACATGGACCTCTAGCTCTGCTGCATGGGTGCCTTCTCTCACCGTGGACTTCATATCACACAGTCGGCCTTGGAGGAGCCCCTCATCCTGCCTCCAGCCCAAGGGCTTCCCTGGGCCCCTATGCAGCCTCCAGAATCTGAAGGGCAGGCGGTAGATGGCTGGGCTGGACTGTGTGTCTGTGCAAGAGCCAGCGAGGTGGAAGCCACTGGGATTCCACATGTTGGAGAAGTGTCCGCTCCCACACTGAGGGGCTCATCCTGCCTTCCCTACTCAGAAGCAGCCAGCCATGCAAGCCTGGGAGCAGCTCTGCCTCCACCGCAATCCACTTTCCACCTGCCTGGTGCTGTGGGGGACTAGACACCAGGGTTTCAGTCAGGTGGTGCTGGCGCTGGGTATTGCAGTCAGACGTGGACCACTCTGACTCACCTCTGAGGCCAGGCCTGTCCTAGGAGTGACCGAGTCCTCTCTTTGCTTCCCATGGCTGCCCAAATGGCTAACACCTTCGTGTGTGTGGTCCACACTGTCTGTTTGGCCCATGGGCTGGAGGGTGGGGCTATTTTCAGGGCACTTGTCCCAGCCATCCACTGAGCCCTAGGCTTGGAAGAAGTGCCCACCAGTTATTGGGCAATGTGCCTGTCCTTTCTTGCCTGGGCTTTTCTCCAGGGAAGTGGCCATGTTGCCCTTTGAACTTGGATTCTTCTATGTTCCTGGAGGGGATGGGGTGGTTGAGACCCAGCTCTTCCCTTGTCTAACCCTTGCACTGCTCTTGGGCAGCCTTGGGGATGCTCTGCCCCCTCCTCGCTGTCCTACGCAGGGCTGGTGAGACAGCTCAGGTTGCAAGTCCAAGACCAGGAGGGCCGTTCCCAGTGGAGTCTCCTCGTGGCTTGCTGTGCTGTTGGGTGCCCTCAGGTGGCAGTGGTGGGAGGGCGAGGGGGACGTTGATTTTCCTTTTCTTACAAGGACACCGATCCTATCAGATTGAAACTACTCTATGACCTCATTTACCCTTAAATGCCTCCCAGAATGCCTCTCTCCAAACAGCCACCAGGACCCAGGGCTTCGCCACAGGGACTTGGGTCAGGGTGGCCTGGGCCAGCAGCAGATGCCTGAGGGTGTCTTTGCTGCCTGCCCTTCCTCTCTCTGAATGTGGGTAGCTCCTACCATCACGTGGCTCCCTTGCCCACCCTGCCAATACTCTTGACTCCAAACAGTCTGACTTCTTTTACAAAGTGCTCCGTTTTAAAGCCACATTTGACCTGATGGTTCATCTTGGGAAGGAGAGCATGATGCCTGGGTTTATTTGAATTAGTAGCAAACATCAAAACAGGGAAAATGCAGAGAAATCTATAGTGACCACTGCTTGCCACAAGCCCAGCTGGCGATGCTGGTCCCAGTCCTGTGTGACCCATCCCTTGAGATGTCCAAGTGCCCCTCCTCATCAGTCCTCTGGCCCACATAGGTCACACACCCCTTCCTGTGTGCGGTTCAGTTCTCCCTCCTCTTGTCCTCACTGAAATTCACTTCTTGCCCATAATTTGGGGGAAAGTGGCCACAATATCAAACCAGGCCCCCTAATGAGTCCCTAGTGCATGCCAATGGGTCGAAATCCCCTTGGCTGGCACTTTCCAGGAGGGCGAGTTTGGGGGCACACTGAACAGAGATCTGACGTTCTAGGGAGCAGACAGACCCCTGGGCTGCAGCCTCCTCCCCACTCCCTGCCCCACCTTCCCCACACTCACTCAGCAGCCACACCGGGCCACCTGTGTCCCTGAGCTCCCCGGCCCTCTCGCACTCCGGCGCCACATTCTCTGCGCGTCTGGCCAAGACTCCCTTCCTTTCTACCCTGCAGTCCTCAAATCTAGCCCAGAACTGTTGGCCAGGTGCTGGGAGCCCGACCCTGCAGTGTGCTCCTCTGTGAAGGGCGGTGAGGCCCATGCTTCTTCCTGCGTGGGCTGCTGACCCTGCGGCTCCACATTGTGCTCTGGTTCTGGGGAGGTGCTGCTCTGGGCCCATGTTCCTTCCCCAGAGCCCCTTTGTGTGGCTTTCAGCCTGGGGCACCTAAGGCAATTGCTGTCTGCATTGCTTGTTGGTCCTCCCTGGGTAAGAAAGCTGCTGAACTTCCCAGGAGGTGGAGATGCATGGGGGTGGGACCGTCCGTCATCACACCCTCATCTAGGTCCCAAAGATGGGACTGGTGGGACCCTGCGCAGCAAGTGTTCCGGAAGTCCCTCCTCACTGCAGTCCTGGCCCAGTGTGAGTCATACTCCCCTCTCCTGCCCGTGGGCGTGTGTCGTCAGACTTACTTACTGGCCCTCAGATGTGGTCAGCAATTGGCAGTGTCATGGCCCATGGTGGCTTCATCATGCTTCAGGCAGCCCAGGTGTGCTCAGGGGTGACTAAGGCACTGGGTGCTGGCCCCCTTAGCAGGCCGTGAAGACCCTGCTCCAGATCATGCTGGACCCGCCCAGCCCTCCTCCTCCTCCTCCTCCTGTGAGTTGTCCTCCTGGTGCCGCCCGCGCTGGCTGCTGGGAGACTCGTTCTGTCGTGTTGCGGCTACAAGCCCACATCTTCGGGAGGCCTTCTGGTCTCAGTATGCAGCTGCTACCTGAGGTGATCTCTGCTCCGCTTAGCATTCCTGGGGTGGTGCTGATTAATTCAGAAAGGCTCAATTTAATTGGAGCAGTGGCCATTTCCCTGGGCAGACGGCTCTTGTCCTGCACGGCGTCACTTATGAGGCCTTCCAGGGTAAGTCTTCTTGCTGTCCAGCACCCAAACAGTGTCAGAAGGGTGAGCAGTAGACACTTTCTGAACGTTCCCCAGGTGCCATGACACATGAGTGTCGGAGTAGCAACTGTGCCCGGCCGTGGCAGGGGAGAGTGGGCTGAGTCTGCATCAGCCAGGAAGCCAGCTGCGTTCCCCCCTGTGCCCCTGGGAGCTCCTGTGCACAAAGGGAGATGCACATCACTGGTGCATGGGGCCCTGGGTCTGAGCAGGCTCTGGCTGGTACCTCCTTCTTACCTAGAGATCTGGTCCATGGATGGGTTCTTCCCACTTGGCTGCTCTGAGACTTGGTGGTCTGCTGGGCGGTTTCTGATTCTGGAAGCACAGGGTGTGGGGCTGTGCATTTAGAGGTTGGTGTTGCTTTGGGCATCTTTCTGTGGCCGGCTCCTTGCAGTGGGCACTGGGGTAGTGAGTGGCCCCTGAGTGCCCGTTCCTGCGTTGACTGGTTTGGGGAGACTGCCTTGGCATCTTCAGCCTTTCTCTTGGGGAGGCTGATTTTGTGGGGTTAGGCAGCTGACCTGGACCAATGAGGTGGAGTAAAATAAATGGGTGCAGGCTTTTCCTTGGCCACCAGAACTGGGGTGTAACTGGCTGCATTCCTACAGCCCTGCTCTGCAGAGGAGTTTGTCCTTGTAGGATATTATTGGTTCGATTTTGTGGATCGGGAAAACTCTCAAAGCACACAGACCTGTGGATTCAGAATTGGTACCTGACCCCGAGTCTAGTTCCTGTGGAGTTTCTCAAGCTGGGTCTGACCTCTCATGCCCTTTCCTTTTATCACAGGAAGATGAACTGAAGGATGCTGCCCACGGAGACCGTCGCCTGACAACCCGTTATGCAGGCCTACCTACAAGGGGCCGGCAGCATGACCAGGTAATGTCACCCCATCAGGAGGCCCCCCGGGGCGGGGAGCACCCCAAGGTGGGGGGCCAAGACCCCAGGTATCCTGTCTGCTGCTTAGGCCAGTGTTGTACACATGCCCTCCAGGGGTCTTCCCACAGGCCCGGGTCTCCATGTCCCCAAGAAGCCCAGATATGGGACATGGGACAGCCTCCCGTGTCCACAGACCCCTGTCCTCCTGCTGAATTTTCCTCATCCTCCACAGCTCAGCCAAAATGCCAGGGTGTCCTGCACTCTACTGCCCCTAGTCTATCGCACCAACGGGTTGGTCAGTGCCACCTGGGCCCCAGCCCTCCTCTTCTAGACCCTGTTATCTTTTTTGGTACCTGGGGTTAAGCTCAGGGGTACTCAACCCCTGAGCCCCAGCCCCAGCCCCTTTATGTATTTTATTTAGAGACAGGGTCTCACTGAGTTGCTTAGCACCTCGCTTTTGTTGAGGCTGGCTTTGAACTCATCATCTATCTCTCTCAGTCTCCTGAGCTGCTGGATTATAGGTGTGCGTCACCACACCTGGCCCCTGTCCTCTTCTTGTGCTTCCCCTGGTCCTCCCCCTCTGCTGGGCCTGGCCCTCCCCTTCTGCTATACTGGTCCTCCCTCTCTGCTAGCTTGGTCCTCCCCCTCTGCTGGACTAGTCCTCCCTTTTTCCTGGATTGGTCCTCCCCCTCTGCTGGGCCTGGTCCTCCTCCCCTGCTGGGCCTGGTCCTCCCCCTCTGCTGGGCCTTATCCTCCTCATCTGCTGGGCCTGGCCCTCTCCCTCTGCTGGGCTTGGTCCTCCCCCTCTGCTGGGCCTGGTCCCTCCTCTCTGCTGGCCTTGTCCTCCCCCTCTGCTGGGCCTGGTCCTCCCCCTCTTCTAGGCCTGGTCCTTCCCCTCTGCTGGGTCTGATCCTCCCCCTCTTCTGGGCCCGATCCTCTCCCTCTGCTGGGCCTGGTCTTCCCCTTCTGCTGGGCCTGGTTTTCCTCCTCTGATGGGTCTGATCTTCCCCCGCTGCTAGGCCTGATCCTCCCCCTCTGCTAGGCCTGGTCCTCCCCACTACTAGGCCTGGTCCTTCCCCTCTGCTGGGCCTGGTCCTCCTCCTCTGCTGGGTCTGGTCCTCCCCCTCTTCTAAGCCTGGCCCTTCTCCTCTCCTGGGCCTGGCCCTCCTCCTCTGCTGGGCCTGACCCTGCCCCTCTGCTGGGCCTGACCCTGCCCCTCTGCTGGGCCTGGCCCTCCTCCTCTGCTGGGCCTGATCCTGCCTCTCTTCTGGCCTGGTCCTCCTCCTCTGCTCACCTGGTCCTCCTCCTCTGCTAGGCCTGATCCTCCCCCTCTGCTAGGCCTGGTCCTCCCCACTACTAGGCCTGGTCCTTCCCCTCTGCTGGGTCTGGTCCTCCCCCTCTTCTAAGCCTGGCCCTCCTCCTCTCCTGGGCCTGGCCCTCCTCCTCTGCTGGGCCTGACCCTGCCCCTCTGCTGGGCCTGGCCCTCTTCCTCTGCTGGGCCTGATCCTGTCTCTCTTCTGGCCTGGTCCTCCTCCTCTGCTCACCTGGTCCTCCTCCTCTGCTGGGCCTGATACTCCCCCCTGCTGGGTCTGGTCCTCCCCCTCTGCTGGGCCTGGTCCCTCTCCTCTGCTGGCCTGGCCCCTCTTCTCCGCTGGCCTGGTCCTCCTCCTCTGCTAGGCCTGACCCTCCTCCTCTGCTGGGCCTGGCCCTTCTCCTCTGCTGGGCCTGACCCTGCCCCTCTTCTGGGCCATCCCTCCTTCTCTCTTGGGCCCCAGCTGCCCTCATCCCCTTGGACCACCCCTTCCTCTCCCAGGCCCCAGCTCTGCTCCTCTGCATGGCCCCTCCCCTCCTGTCCTATAGGCACCACTGGGTTTGCCTGTGGTAACCTTTATTACTGGCAGTCCCCCTCACTGTGAGGCTCCATCACTCTGACATTTCTTCCTTGCACACTGAGCTGGGCACAGCTCCTGATGGTCCACTCTGCTTGGACCATCTTCTCTGCTCCCCCATCTTCCAGCAGCTGGCAGCTGCTTTTCATTGAAGTTTCAAGTTAAAGTCACTTGGCAAAGCTGCCCACTTGAGTGTCTCCCTTCCCTTTTCCCTGTGTGAACTCACCTGGTGCCTGTTCTTTAATCTCTTGGCCCCTCTTGGTGGAACACATCTTCAATGATCTGTCTGTCTGTCCCCTGCATGTTCATGGTCTTTCCCATCTGAGCCTGCAGCCCCTGGGACAGGTGGAGCACCCTGGGTGCTGGTTTGTGGGGTGGGTGGCTCTGAACTGCTGACTTGGCAGCTCTACCAGTGCATAGATCAAAGAATGACAGTTCTGACAACTCATTGCCAAGATCTTGATACCTGTGTCCCTGCCTTGTTCCTTGGCTATTTCCCCCCGGGAGGTGTTTTTAAGAAAACCACGAGTGTTGATGAGGATGAGGAGAAAGTGTACCTTGTGCCTTGTGGGTGGTGTGTGAACTGCTGCCGTCCCCACGGAGGCCCCCAGAATTTAAAAATAGGATGTTATGCATGAACAGTGATCCCACTCCAGGGTATGCATGCAAAGGAACCACAGGCAGGGGCTGGAGTTGCAGCTCAGCGATACAGCACTTGCCTCATACAGGTGAGGCACTGGGTTTGGTTTCCAGCACCACTTATAAATAAGCAAAAAACTGAAGGTCCATCACCAACTAAAAAATATTAAAATAATAAAAAAAAGAATCACAACTGAAGCATCAAAGAGGTGTTTGTACACCTGGGCTACAGATGATGGTAGCCAACAGGTGGGAGCCGCCTAAGTGTGCACCAGTGGATAGATGGATACACAAAACGCCACTCAGCCCCAGGAAGGAAAGAGGTTCTGACAGGTGACCCTGCAGACAGGCCTGGGGGCAAACCACCCAGTGTAACTGCCAGCCACGGAAGGACGAGGGCCTCCGGGTCCAGGTGCATGAGGCTCCCCGAGCTTCCAAGTCACTGGAAGAGAGGGTGGAGTGCAGGATGGGGGTGGGGAGGGGATGGCGAGTCCCCTGCTGGGGACGGAGCCCTGGAGATGGCGGTGGTGGTGCCTGCAGACAATGTGTATTTAGCGCCACAGATGTACTCTAAAAAATGGTTGGAGGACAGATCTGGTGTGTATCTTGTCACATTTTAGAAACACGTGCTTTACTGCGTCCCCTCCTCTCCACTCAGGGCCCTTCCCTGGCCCCCAGCTCCCACCCTCAGGCCAGTTCTCCGCAGGGGCTCCAGGAGACTCACACTCCAAGGAGTGGACACAGAAGGCCCCTCCCAGCCCCCTCCCAGCCAGGGGAGCACACAGCAGTGGTGGCTTCAGGTGTCAGCTGTGGGCGGGTGGGAGTGGTCCTGGGGGGCTGTCCGCAGTCTGTGCCAGTCTCTCCTTGGGTATTCATGGCTTCTGCCAGGCCGGGGGTCTCCAGCCCAGCGAGGGCGGAGAGCTGGAGCAGAGCCGGCGGGCCTTGGCCGGGCTGGTGCCGTGGTGGAGGCAGCCTCCCCTCACAGCCTTCTTGCTGTGCCTGGTGTCCCAGCTCCAGGGGACTCACATTCAGTCCCCTTGTCTCCTGCTGTCTTCCCAAAGTGGCCTTTGAAGGGGCTGTGAGGCACAGAGCAGAGCTGGCCATCCCTTCCACTCAGCAGGGACATCTGAGGAGCCAGGGGCTCACCAGGCAGAGGTGGGACAGCTGAGTGGCAGGGACTTGCCCAGGCCTGGCCACTCACGCCAGCCAGCCTTCAGGGCCCCCTCCGCCCTTCCCCTTCCCCTCCTTCCCTCCCTCCCTCCCTCCTTCTGTCCTTTATGTCTCTGTCTTTCTCTATTTTTTTTTTTTTTGGTGATAACAGTGGATTCCTTCTGCCATATTCCTACCGGCACTCTGTACCTTTCCTCTCCCTCCCCTCCCTTGCCCCCTCTGCTGGACTGTCCCCCTCCATTATCATTGTTGTGGTTTTAACTGTGAATTGTGGTTTTGATTCATCATGGTGCATTCGGACGTGGACGTAGCAGAGCCGGACATCAGGGCTCTGGGTGGCTACCTACTGTATGGAGGTGTGGAGAGCGTAGGGAGATAGCGGCTCCCAGAGCTGTCCTTGGTGCTGAGCACCCTCCTGTCCCGGAGTGCGGGAGTGCGGGGTTCCTTCCGGTGAGGACAGTGCTGAATGTGCCCTAGATTCATGGTGGGGAGCATGTGGGGTGTCCACTCAACCTGCAGAAGTAGAGGGACTCTCTACTAATCTCCTTGTCAGTTCCTGCCTGCACTTGCAACCTGCCCTGATTGACAGTGACATTAATTATCAGAGCTCTTAATTATGGCCTCAAGGAGACGTGCTGTCAGCACTTTCCCTGAAGCGGCACAGAAAGGACTGGTTCTCAGGTACAGGGCGTGGTGTTGGACTGTCTGGAACATGGGCCTGTGTCCCTTCTGGAAGGAGCCTTGCGGAAGACGCCACAGTGGAACCCGGGACACGGGGCCAAGCTGTCTTCAAGGTCTTATGGGCCCACGAACCAGGCTTTGTACTGTTTTCAAAAATATAATCAAATTCTATCGTCACTTGGGCCAGTGGGGCCTGTGCAGCCTCCCAGCTGGGGAAGCTGTTCCTGTGGCAGGCCAGCGTTCGAGGTGACACTCCTACCCACTGGCCAGAGACTGGCCGGCAGGAAGTCTAGGTCCAGCTGTGCGCAGAGCTGTGGATGATGGTCAGGGGGTCTTGCTATGTCCCCTTTCCTGAGGCATTCTATTGAAAAATTATGGGGCCTCATAGGGATGTCACAATAGGTATTTGGGATTTTGAGGCTGTCCCAGCCCTCCTGAGTGTCCCTGTCCACCTCATCTGGTCAAAATAAGAAAATCTCGTACAAGTGAACCATCTTAGCCCCCCTGAGGGCAGGACAGAGGAGGGGCTGCTGGCTCCAGCCTGGCCATGCTGGGGCCCTGCCCTTGCCCTTCAGTGGGGAGCAGCCTGGCTCATCCCCAGGAGGATGTCCTTGACCAAGTGCAGCTGTGAGGTTCGTGACTGAGCTCCAGGTGGTGCTATCTGGGCAGGAGGTCAAGGGCTGTGGCCATTATCTCCCTAGCTTTGTGAGGGCAAGGGCGAGGGCGAGGGCGAGGGTGAGGGGCTGTTCCCTCCACAGGCTGGGCAGCCTGCCCAAGGTGGCATGCAGCGTGACGCGGGGCTTAGTGGGAGCTAATGGGGCTGTGCCAGGCAATGGAGTCCACCAGTGCAAAGGCCCTGGGGTGGGAATGAGCTTAGCTTGTTTAGGGGACAGAAGGCTGGGGTGTCCCCAGCATGGTGAGTGGTGGTACCAGATGGGAAGGTCAGGTCCTGCAGAGCCTGGCATCAGGGTGTTTGGTTTCATTCTGATTTCCGTGGGAACCAGGCAGTAGCTGAGGAGTGCTGCAGGGAGCACTCCTTGGTCCCCATGAGGCTGGGCTCCAGGGTGCTCACACACCTCACCCCACGTCTGATTTCCATGGCCAGCAAGAATGTGAGAAGCGATGGCTTCCTGCCAACCTGTAGCCCTGGGTTGAAGCTCACGAGAGGCACTGAGTTCCAGGAGGTTGTGACACTTTCAGCTTCTGACATCTTCCGAGTTCCAGGCCCCGGGCTTGGTGGCAGCTGAGTGGCTGTGAGGACTTGCGAGCTGGCCCTGGCTGTGACCCCTAAGGTAGCTTCCACGCACTGCCTCCATTGAGGAAGGCCACGTGGCGCCCTCGTTTCAGAGCCATGGAACTGTCCAGTTGGGCACTGCCCTCAGTACCGAAGCCTCTGTGACAGAAAGGCTTCTGTGGCTGAAATGTGGCTTCCTGATGGGCTGTGACTGAAGCCACAAAGCATGTTCTAACTCTGGGGAGGAGGGAGGCACACGGCAAGTCTGCTGCGGCCTTGATACATGGCCTCCGTGGGCAAGTGGGCAGGGCAGCTGGAGCCAGCCACGGGCCCCTCACCAGAGCATGCCCTGGCCTGCTGCAGAGGAGCTGGGGACGGAGGGGGACTAGGGGGCTGCCAGCGAGCTCACAGCTTGGCTGGGGCTGCAGCCTGAGGGTGGAACTGACCTGGCGCTAGATCCTGGGGAAATCCGTGCTCATACATGTGCAGTTCTGTGCCATTCTTACCCTCGGCTGAGACAGGGTAAAGTTTTTAGGCAGAGGAATTAGCATGCTTACACAATCGGGTGACAGTCTGGTGTGTGTCAGGACTCTCACAGGTAAAGGGACAGGAAGTAATTTGGGTTGGTGTGAACTAACGGGCTCAGTGGGAACAGAGGAGACAGCAGCTCCAGTTGGGCTTGTCCTGGTGCCCAGGACCGTCAACACCTCATCTGCCCTCTGCGTTCCGGGCTCTGAGTCCATTTACCTGGCCTTGAAGTCAGGCTGTGCTGCCCTCATGACAGCAGGCAATGACACCTGTAGTCTGTTGTCCTCAACTTCCCATGGACAGCAGTCTCCTCCCAGGCTCTCAGGATGGCAAAGGGCTGCAGGACCACTCCAGTCAATCCCCACATCCAGGGGATGGCATTGCACTGACCAGCCAGTCTGGGTTCCGTTCCCAGCCAGAGCTAATCACAATGCCGTGCTGGAGGTGGGCGGGCCGAAGGGGGAGGTCAGGTGCTGATTGGCCAGTTTGACCACAGGTGCTCAGCTCTGTAGGGCTGGACCCTGAAGTCCACCCTGGGGAGGGAGGGACAGGAGGCTCTTAACAAGGAAGCAACAGATGTCAGCTGGCCAGGTGTCCACCTGGTCCCTGGGCAGTCTGTAACAGCCTTTGTTTTCTCAACACTTCTGCTCCCAGGTGAAGGCAGAGTATGCCCGGCTCAGCCGCACACTCACCATAGTGACCAGAGAACGCGATTCGGCCCTGAGGGAGAAACACCAGCTCCAAGTCAAGCTGGAGAACCTGGAGCAGGTCCTGAAGGTAGGTGGCCGGCATGCACGGTGCTGCAGGCCAGCGTGGGGCGGGGGGTACTGCGGCCAGAGCAGGAGGCCAAGCCCTTCGACCCCTGGAGCTCGGGGCCCTCCCGGTGCCTATCCTGCTATGGTGTGAAACCCACAGGTGGCACAATTCCAGCATTTCTGGAAGCAGCCCTGTAAACCAGTTCCACGTTCCCATTTCTGAGGGTACAGAGAGCTGAGCCGGGCGGAGGGCGGCTCTGCTGATGGAAAGGGAGCGGCCGGCTGCAGCCCAGTGTCTGCTGGATTTGAAGCTGTTGCCAGATGTCCAGTGGCCTTTGCTGTAGGAGAATAGCTAAGTCAGAGCACATCTACCTCAGGCTGCACTCCCTGAGCCGGCTCCTTCAGCGTCCACCTGGTGGGGTTGGGCGGCTTGACATCGCCGAGTTAGGCTGAGTGAGTCCGTCAGCTTGCCTCCCTCCCTCCCTTTCTCCTCCCTTCCTGTTTGATTTCTTGGATCCTCATTGTTCTAGAAAGCAACAGTGTGGCCACTGCAGTCCTATTGTCCAGTGTACTCACCACAGTGTTTCTCGGGGGCACCTGCCCTGCCCATACCCCTGGAGCAGGAAATGGCTTTGACTTCAGTGGTCACCCACTGGGGACTGTTGGAGCAGAGTCGGGGGCACAGACTATGGCACGTGAGGGGCGTGCAGTGGTCAGGGGAACGAGGGCCTCACGAGTAATGAGGTGGTACAGCCAGGGGAAGGGGAGGCAGAACTCCAGCCCTCCTAGAGGCTGGGCCCCGCTGCTCTCGGGCCCTGTCTGGCCAGTCTCCAGGGAGCCAGGATGGAGAAGGAGCCATGGGCAGGGGACTCGCTCTCAGCTCCCAGGAGAGGGGGCCAGGAGACATGCAGAGATGCTTCAGGACGTTCCCAGTAGCTGAAGCCACTTGTCATCCTTCTCTCCGGGGAAGCTGTGCTAAAACTCTGGGCTCTTGGGACCATTTTGTGCCCTTAGGAGAGAAACTGGGGAGATTGGGTGAGGCTGGCTGCCTCCCCCAGGAAGAGTCCAGGAGGAACCTTCTGGTGGGAGCTCCAGGGCAGGACATTCCTGCTGGCCCTGGTCTGCAATGTTTCAAATACCAGGAGCAGAGGGTGTGAGTGGACAGAGGGCTGAGGGCCGTGTTCAGGAGACTCTGGTGCCACCTGCCCCATCTAGTTGGGGATGATATAGTCCCCGCATCCTTGTCAGGGGAGGGGCTGTGGTGGTGCCTCTGAGCAGGTGTCCATGTGACAAGCTCTCAGACATGCTCCTGGGCCCCGGGTGTGAATCGCATGGCTGCTCGTTCATTCATGGACAGGACAGGCAGTGACCATGTACTAGGGCTACAGTCATTAGGTGCAGGCCCAGTGTCCTTCCCAGGGAGCAGGGAGGAAGCCCATGCGGTGTCTCACCAGGTCATGGCAGTGCCCAGTAGAAACAGGGCGAGGGCATGGGAAGGGACTGGGCCTTCAAAAGAGGTTTCCCCAGCTGCATGTGAGCCGAGGGGACCCCGAGGGGCAGCCTTGTCAGCACCCAGGGATGACCTCCTGGCCATGGGGGTGCTGGACAGTCCCTGCTGCTGCAGGGTTCCTGGAGACACAGGGTGCCCCTCAACAGGAGGGAGGGCAGGGTGCTCAAGGGTGAAACCATCCTGGGGCTGACCCTGGCGAGGCATTCAAGGTAGAATTCCAAGAATGTTAGCATCTGTCCTGTCATGGAGCTCGGGACCTGTCACCCAGGCTGCGTTAGACTGTCCCAAGCCCCAGTGGCTTAAAACAGTCCCTTTTCGTTAATGATCGCAAGTCTGGGGAGGGGTGGCATGGTGCTTTTCATGGATGCTTGTGGCTGACAGTCCCCTGGGTCATCAAGGCAGCGCAATGTGCCTGGGGCAGCTCCACTGGCTTTGGCCGGGACACCTGGCCTCGTCCCTTGCTTCCCATCCTCTGGCAGGTGTGTAGGGTCACTGCCCGAGGCGTGACAGGACCATGGACAAGAGCAGAGGAGCAGGGACCAACTCAGGGCTGGCACCAGCCACATCACTGCCTCCTGCTGGCCCAGTCTGTAGGCTTGGGGAAAGGACTCTGCCTGTGGCAGGCAGGAGCTGTGACGCGTGTCACCAGGCACCACGGGATGCAGGGACAGGTGGGGCGACTTGCAGTCAGTCTACCACAGATGCTGGAGGCCGAGGGGGCGTGAGGCACATCCCCTCTGGGCTGGGAAGGGCTCACCTGCTTCTAGTTAGGCCAGGCGCAGGAGTGGAGGCCATCGGGGTTGAGGTCCAGGAGTGAAAGCTAGGTGGCTTCGCAAGGCGGGGCGTGCAGGGCTCTGTGTTCAAGGTGGAGTTGATAGACTGGTGGCTGGAGGTGGGCAGGGGGAAGGGTCAGGCAGGACTTTGTGGGGCCTGGACGTGGGTTTCGAGTGAGCTCAGGGTAGTTTGCTGTCAGGAGAGCACTGGGGACAGCCATAGCTTTGTGTTGGGGACAGCAGTGTGAGCATGGGGTCCTGGGTGCAGCAGCACTCTGGGTCCATGCTGGAGCCCCTTGCCTGTGGCGGAGAAGGCAGCCCAGCTCTCCTGGGCGGCACAGGCTGAAGTGTCCACCATGGCGTCTCTCGTTGATGACTGGTGGTCTCCAGTGTCAGCTGTTTGGGTTCACCTCTGACACCGTGCTCAAAGCCCGAGACATGACTGGGGACAGGGGGACATGAGGCTCAGTGCGAGGGGAATGCTCGTTTCATGTCACTATGGAGTGAGTACAGCCTGGGGCTGTCTCACGGGTCCTCGGAGCCTGTCTGGGCGGACAGTTACCCTGGTTGTCACGGTCCCACCCTGGCCACTCTGTTTCCAAACATGGCTGCCCTGCCGCTCGTCCTGGTCCTGGTGATTTAATTCACCCAGAGACGGCGCGTGGCTTTCCCCCCCTGGCCTCTGATGGCTCATTCGAATCAAGGAGCCTCCAACCCCAGGTTCTTTTCAGAGGCCGTGTCCACTGTACTGGGGACTCTCGAGCTTCACATGGAGACCTAGGCTGGCTGTCTGCACAGGCTGATTTAAGAGGGGCACTGGCTTCCTGCAGACTTGAAGTCCACCGAGATTGTGCTGTTGAGAAAGCCAGGCGAACTCACGACAGAGACTCGCTCGCTCATTAAGCATGGATTTATTGAGCAACTGCTACAGTTCCTTCCAGGTATTGAGGAAGTGGCCTCCCTCCGTGCCATGGTCCAGGCAGAGTGTCAGTAACAGGTCAGTGTCGTGGCAGGCAGGAGAGAAACAAGGGACAAAGAGTGATCAGGTTCCAGGTACATTTCACATCCAGGGTTGGGACGGCTTTACTGGTAACGACGAGGTCACTTCTGCCATGTTCTATGGGTCCTGCTTGATTTAAAGGGATGGGCTTACCTGGGGGTGGGTAGCAGGAGGTGTGGCCATAGAGACCAGCCTCATAAAACCCTTTTGAAGTAGTCTAGGCAAGTGGGTGTCGTGGCTTGACTAGAGCTGAGATTCACGTGCTTCTGTGGAAGTCCCTCTATGTGGCTGGCTGTGGTCTCTCTTGGAAGTAGCCTGAAGTTCCCCAGAGGGTGGCTGGGGTGTCCCTGATGTCTGGACTGGGCGACAGGGATCTTTCCACATGGATCTATCCTGGGACAGTCCTCAGTGTTGGTCTGATCAACTGATTAAATGGAGTAAACCCAGGAAGTTTTGTTCCCCAGCTTCTTGGACCCAAGTAAAGAAGAAAATATTTTTTTTCTTCACAAAAGCCCTAAGTGATTTTTCCTGGGAGCATCGCCGCCATGCTGCCTTTCAAGGCCTTTCTGACCCTTGGCACCTCACGCCCTGTGAAAAGGAGCTGCTTGGTGTGGCAGTCACAGTGGCTGCAGGAGCATGCCATCGTCCTGAGTGTGCCCTCCTGGGGACCCGGGATGGCCCTGCTTGTGTAACGTAGCAGAGGGACAGTTGTCCTTATTTCAGGGCAGGGAGGACACTCTCCAGTCACCTTGGTGCAGCGGTGCAGAGACCCTTCAAGGAGGCAGGCACCCGGCTGGGTGACATCAGGTGCAGCAGCAGAGGCAGGGCCACGGTGGAGGCCATTACTTGAAGGGAGGCCACGGGGCCCAGCAAGAGCAGAACTGGGGTCGAGAAGCTGCTGGACGCTGTCGGGTTGAACAGCGCTCCCCCAGATCCATGTCCACTCAGAGTCTTCGGGCACAGCCTGCCTTACCTGGACACCACGGCATTTGTGGGGTAAATGACAGGAGGCCTTAGAGCAGGCTCTAGTGTGCAGATCGACACCTTCACATGAGATAAGAGATGGAGGGGGAGGTCGTGCACTGCCACAGGCCAGGAGGGAAGGTCATGCACTGCCATAGGCCAAGAGGCCAGGGAGCTGGGAGAGGCAGGAGGATCCTCCCCTGATCCTCAGGAGGAGCCAGCTGCCCACACCTCAACCTGGGGCTCCAGCCTTCAGAGCTATGGGGGGAATTTCTGTTGTCCTGGGTTCCCCTTTTGCTACAGACCTGGAGTGTCAGCAGGGCAAGCCCACAGTCTGGCCAGCTGCAGGAAGCAGGGGCCAGATGTCATGTTGCTTCCCTCTGACGGCCATGGACACTGGCCTGCAGGATGGGCTGGGGTCTCAGTCCTGTGGTGTGAAGGCCAGGTGGGCGTCGTGTCCTGCTCCCTGCTTCTTCCCCGGCTCCCGGGCAGCAGCTCCAGTGCCTGGACCCATGGAGCCCCGTCCCCCGGCCTCTTCAGCCAGGAGGTTTCTCAGCAAAGGACTCTGGCCCTTGGGGTGTCACTGCCCTGGGTAGGAGGCTGTCCTGAGATGGTCTTGCCTCTGGGCCTAGCCCCTGACCATTGCAGATGCTGATATCCAAAAGTCCCTCCCCACTTTTCAGACGCCCCTGACTGCGGCGTTTGCATGAAAACAGTTATTTTCACACATGGTCATCCCCTCGCTCAGTGTACCCCCTTCAGAACGCACAGAGAGG